CGTGGAGTGACTGTGTGGAATGAGAAGAAGCAGAAGTATGGTGCTGATGAATATTCCCTCGCCATAATCTCAGCCCTACATGCCATCGGTTGTGATATCGACTTTTTGGTTCACCAACCGATGATCATCTCTTATCGAGGGATCTGCTTTCCTCAATCCGCTAAGGCTGTTATTGGACTGGGACTTCCTAAGGTCGCAGTCAGTGACTTGTGTTTGCTTGCCATTGTGGGCTCCCTGCGTACTTATGACACTTTTATGCGTGGCACATGGCGTTGAAGGTACATTTTTGCCATTTAATCTCACCCCAGACCCAGTATGACGGTCACTTTGTGCCTGATGTGCGAGTCTTGACTGTGCTAGCGCATACTGCGCCTTGAAGAGCATTCACCATTGCTTGTCCTTTGTTCGGTTGTTAGTCTTTAGACGCCTGTTCCCATACCAAAATCTTTACATACTTTGGGATTCACCTCATCAGACTGGCACTGTCCTTGGCATGATTTCGAATGAGACGTTTCTCTCTTTTCTCCCATATTCTCCTGTTACTCTTTTGCATTCATCGCTTGCATTCACTTTTTATGTTTGTGACCATGCTCTTCAAAAATAAATGATAATATGTTGTGAAGGCGAAATTTGCGTGATGGGAATTTATTAAGTATCATTCTCATGCTTCGCAAGAAAAGTTGAGGTGACATGCAAACAATATGGAACCAATCAGACAAAAATATGAATTCTGGGAACCGACTTGTGCTAGCTGAGCCCTTAGAATGAGCCACTCCAACCGATCTTAAATTCAATTTCAGTCATAATGCAGGCCATCGACTAAGCTGATTACATGGTTTTGGTTATTTCTTGGAATCCAAACCTACAATACCGTCTTCCTATGGGAATTACTCCGCGAATTTTATAGTACAGTTTGGCATAGAAGATCATTTTTGAATGTTCACATCTAGCGAACGTTCCTTGGTCGAATTTATCAGGTGGTCTGGACTCACAATTTTTCACCTGAAATAAAACGCACTGGTAGCAAACTGTTCTATGATGACCATTTCTCTGCACTAAACTTCCTTTGTTGGTTGACAACCAGTTTTCCACCTTCCTAGCAGAAATGAATAGGTGAATTCCATCTACTGGGAAAATTTCACCTTTTTCCTGAAATAAGAGAGTGAATTCTCAGTACATGTTTAAAGTGACAAGAAATTTCCGGGCCCTCAAGCTATCTGGAGTTACCTTTTTCAAAACCTCGTGTCACTGATGGTAGCGAAGTACGTTTTTTACATTTTGTCGACATCGTTAAAGTACTTATTAAGCTTTAATGCACGACAATTCTACCCGAGATTCCTGACTGTCGAGGCTGCATTACTACTGAGGATAAGTAAAATTACCTGCTGTGGATCAGTTGACAGCCTTTGGAAAAATTCTGGGTTTAACCCTAAAGAGTATTTATTTGACAATTAATTTGATGTTAAGTGGTTCTTGACTTGAATAGGTCTACCTTGAGACCAATCTTAGTGGTTCGGCTTTCTAAATTTGTTTAGGGCGTATCCTAGATGTTAGATTCAGTAAAAGCTAATTTGATGTTAAGTGGTCTTTTTCTTGAATAGGTCTACCTTGAGACCAATCTTAGTGGTTCGGCTTTCTAAATTTGTTTAGGGCGTATCCTAGATGTTAGATTACTGTCAGTAAAAGCATGATGCATTTTAAGTAAAGAATGGTTTGACTGACACCACTGTACTTGAATCACTTCAAATTAAATGAAGCTTATACCCTTTGTGAGGCTGAAAAACGTGCGGAAGCTCTTCGGGTATATACCAGCGCATCGCAATCCGGACGGTTAAAAATGAACATCACCCCATTACCATCATGCGTCAGTGGTTGTGGAAAGACAAATGCAGGTTTTCCATCTTCATATCGGATTGAACAAGACTGCAGTTGAAAGGAAGTTTAGAAGACATAACCGATACTTAAGAATGTTCTGAGAATCCAATGTTGGTTTTCCATTTTGTGTTGAAAACCGTGCGGACATTTCAAAGATATCAGGCGAGTTTCTAACATCCGAATGGATATCATGAGTACAAAATGACAGGGTCTCTGTAGACCAGAACCTGTCAATGTTTTTTCGATGTTGTTTCATTTACTTGGAGTTTAACCACCAGTTGCACCTCCAAAAAACAGCTTAATAGTAGAATTTGTTGAAGTGATTTTTTGACTTGAATCCTTCATTTGGTAGAAGAATTCCGGACCAACCAGTGTAAGCTTCTAGGATTCTATTACATCACGTATTCGCATAGTAACACAGTCAAGCATGGAACAATATAGTTCTCAACGAATAGCCTACCACTGATTGGGCAGTCTATTTTTCAACCTATGCCGACAGTGATAATTAGTTGAGAAATATGCACAATTTATATTGAAAACGTTCCCCTGTTACTAGTTATTCTTCTGTTTTAATGCAGTTATTCTGGTGAGTCTATACTAAAGAAGGAAACGCTAGACACTGGTTTTGCCATCCCAGCAATACACCTGCTGGCCATGCGGGGCGTTTCGGCTACAGACGTCTAACATAAGAGGAGGGCTTGTTACTACCGCTCCACAGGCATGCGCCAGAGCCACCCGAAATTTCGTGTCTGGGTGGTGCGATTGACGGACGACAAAAATAAGTAAATCGATGTATGCTTTGACCAACTGTTCTTCTAGTCATCCTGGAGGAATAATTACATGCTCCATAAGAGCTCAGCAGACCGACTTCTTCCACAAACTGATCAAGCATGGAAGGAGATCATGAATTGGTTAATAACTCAGGTGTAAACTCTTCCACTTCACCATAATTGATCAGAAATCTCAGTAAATTTCCCAGTGAATGAATTTCGTGGGAACTTATGGATTCGATAGGATAGCTTCGGTAAATGGAGCTTTAAAATATCGAAAACCTTACAGTGGATCCCAAACGCGGGTATGGATAAGCTAGACTGCTTGTTGGAGACTGCGACTGGTGCACTAAGTCAAAGAAGCTCACTTTGAGACCGCTCTTTTTGATTACACAGGGACCGGGCGACTATTTCTTTCAGGTCACTGGTCATGGAATTGGTCTGAAATTCGTAAGCGTTGTAGTTTCCAAGCATCAGATGGATGTGATTAGGTTTTCTCACAAGTGACGAGATTTTGTGGGTCCTCTTTAGATTTCTTCCTGAAGCGCATTTTTTCTATTTAGCATGTAGAATTTGCGGACAAAATGCAGTTAAGTAGTAAGGTTTGTGCGGATTTTACAGGCTCATTAGGCCCGATTAGTTGCAGAAGCTGCGCAGATTTTTTTGTGAATTCATAACATCAGCTTACAGATGTGGATTTCCACGGCTTCCATCATACGCAGTATAATGATTTCCATAATCTTGGGCTAATCCGGTATATTAGGGTATTTGTCCCTCTACAACACACTCTATGATCTGCATCCGGCGAGTGTACGAAAGGGAAAGTGTTAAGGGAAGGTACCTATGTCTGTCTGGGTGAAAAGAGATGTTTTCAGCTCATTCTAAAAACTCACACAATAAGCACTACTGGTGATTTTTAGTAAAAAATAGATGTAAGAAGCTCTTGATCCTCCTAACATTGACTTAAAGTTTCCCAACTTTTTCGCTTTTTAGAAGTTTACGATACTGATGCTTTAGATGAAAGAGTCTGCAAACTGCTTTAAAAACATTGCTTCTTATTTCGATAGGCGGATCCATCGAACTCAGTTATATCAGAAGGTTTTTATTGCTTCCGTCTAGAAGGAAATATATTAAGTAGTAATTCTTACAAAAAGAATAGTTTTTATGATGATTTTCACTAAAAGGATACAATTTTGCACATTTTTAGAGTCACATATGTATAAAACGTAGGCAACACCTTAAAATGTTGAAAAGGATTGGGTACTGTGGCCATCTTTTGGCGAAAATGGGGCAGCTTCAAGGTTATTTTTAGATCTTTTTGGCAATGAATTGTGCCAATTGAATGATACTGCCTAAACATAAGTGGGTCGTCCGGACGTAAATGAGCAACACAACAGTCGGTCCTTGTTTCTTCTCCCATTTTTGTGCTTTGTTTTGTTGCCTACGGTACAGATTTTGGGTTATTAACCAGATTCGGGCATTGACAAACGGAGGCAATGTTGGTTGTACTTCAGATCTATTGCAATAAATAGCCTGTGTTCCATCACAGCAGCAAACGAAATGCTGTTTGTAATGAAGTGTCAAATAAGTTGGGGCACTGAAGAGAGAAACAGGACTGCATTCTTTTATCTAAATTATCTTGGGTACGAGAAATAGGTATCAGCCTGTGGCACTTTTGGCTACAAACACAAACGGTGCTGAGGTTGCAGAGCAATGTTCACAAAACGACTGTGACAACAGTCTCATTCTGGGATCGTGGAACTTGTGAAGCTGTGAAGACACCCAACTTCGTCAAATATCCGTGCATGCTGTCCTTGTATTACATCAAGTGGTAGTTGGCTGCGGCAGTTGATCGTAGACCGACTTTAGGGTGCCTTTCAAATGGCTGGATCTGCTGGTGTCTGATAATAGTGGTTCAGAACTTATCAGTTTGTTCTGGCTTTATGGGACTAGCACCGCTGTCCCAAGTTTAACTTATAATGGATAAGTTTGTTAGCGCAGCGCATTCATTTACTGTGATATGTTGAGCAATACCACTGGCAGCTAATCCAGCTAACCCTAAGACTTCGAAGTACAGTACGCTAAATAGACGGAATAACCTTCAGTAAGCTTCCTTCAGAATTAATTGGCAGCATCGAATATAATCCTCAGTTCGAGAAACTACGCAAAAACTACGCAGTTAGTGCGTAGTACTCCATTTTTGCAATGGCATATTTAAAAAGTCTTCCCCAGATCCCTTGTACATTTCAATCAACACTGGATTTCGTCATAACCTGCAGCAATGATTGAAGCCAGGAAAACTACCTAGCAATAAACGACGGCCACTTCACGCACGAATTCCTAAAACGCTGAATAATAGTGTGATGCTTGACAAAAGGCTTTGGTGGATTACAAGAACCAGGGAAGCGTGGAGGGATTTTGTGAATGAGAGCGATAATTCAATCAACTGGTCCGAGTAAAGTGAATGTTGGTGGAACAACCACCAAAATGGGGGAATTCAGCCCATTCACTGAAAAGACTTTTCGGATGATGTACTTAATACTTTGAAGAAAAGTTCACCTGGGCTCATCCAACTCCTCTAAGGGCTAGGTGAGCACTAGAGGAAAGCGGAAATTCGGCCTCCATCGATGA